TATATTAATATAAATATATAACTAACTAGAACGAAGTCCCAACACTTAACCAGTGATGCAAACGTTAATTATTAAGCGTTTGTGTAGAGATTGTATTACAAAATGTTTAAAAAATTGTTTGCAGTTATAGCGATTTAACTATAGAGGGACGTCTTCCTTGTTAAAATGATAATTATTGTAACATTGGAAATATCTTGCTCTTCAAATTGCTTTTCATATATCTAATTTAAATTGCCCAATAACTAACCCATTAATTCAGTTATTTAAAACGGTTTATCGGAGAGAAATACATTTGATTTCACCCTGTAAATTATTTTCTGCGCACGAAAAATAGTAATTGGATATCGTAAAATTTCATCTTTGTCGGTATAAAGCAATCGGCTTACAGAAGAGTTTCAATTGTGTTTGTGGGTGTTTTTTTGTAGAAATAAGTTTAGCACGAACATTTTTTCCAGCACATAAAGTGTTTCGACTGGATTTATTAGGTTTTATCGCGGCATATGTGCGTGTTGCAGAGGCTAGCTGAAACTGTTTACAGTGGTGCGAGTAAATAGAAGTTCGAGGAATCTTTCATAACGTTTTTTCGAGAAACAGATTCCGAAACATTGTTAATCGTGTGTTTTATAATTTTGCCAGTTTTTTGTTCGAAGAGAAAAGATGATACATAAGTTCTTCGTTAAGCATATACAGGGTGTTCGACCATCCTTGGGAAAAATTTTAATGGGAGATTTTAGAGGCCAAAATAAGACAAAAATCAAGAACATCAATTTCTTCATTGAGGCTTCGTTAAAAAGTTATTAAAAAATTTCAAATCATTCTGAAAAAGTTATTTTTGGTTGCAGGGGTTAATTACAATCATTTTTTGTGAATAGACATACCCCCGAAATCCTACACACTTTTGAGAAAAAAATTCAAGTAGGTGGACAAATTTTTCGACATAATTAAAAAATTCCAAATCGTTCTAAAAAAATTATTTTTGATTGCAGGGGTTAATTACCGTCATTTTTGGTGAATAGACATACCACCGAATTCCTACGCATTTTCGAGAAAAAAATTCCTTATCGAAAATCTAATGACTGACCATACCGTTGATATGTTTCCCTGAAATTTCAAGCGAATCTTTAAAACGTCATAACTTCTGAACGGATTGGACGATCTTAATGTTTAAAAATGCAAACTACGCGTATTTTGGTGAAGAATATGTGGGAATTCCAAAAATATTCGAAAAGTTATTCCTTGACCCTGCAAAATGAGAAAAACCCAACGAAAATGGTCCAATTTTCAAACAGCCATAATTCCTACAATAGTGACTATATTTCATTGAAATTTTGAGGGGAAGTAGAGTTCATGGATATCAACAAAAAATTATTAGACCACTTTTCTGTACAGCGCCAACCAAATTTATTAAAAATCAAAAACATATTTTTAAGAAAAATCGAAGGAGGTAGGTGTCTAAATTTTTCGGCGAAAAAAAAATTTCAAATCGTCCTGGAAAAATTATTTTTGGTTGCGGGGGTCAATCACAATCATTTTTGGTGAATAGACATACCCTCGAAATCCTAACTAGTTTCTAGAAAAAAATTCCATAAGTGAATCTTTCGACAAAATTAAAACATTTTAAATCGTTCTAAAAAAATTATTTTTAGTAGCAGGGGTCAGTTGTAATCATTTTTGGTCAATAGTCATATCCTCGAAATCCTGCGCATTTTCGAGAAAAAAATTCAGTATTGGCGTAACTTTAAACGTTAATAACTCGTTAACGAAGCCTCCATCAACAAATTAGTATTTTTCTCTAGAATGTCCCATTAAAATTTTCCCCAGGTATGACCGAACAGTGAGAAATAAACATTACACAATATTCAGGAGAAAAAGGAGTCAGGTATGTGCAGAAAATAGCTTATTAAATTTGCTTAAACAACATTATTGCGTCGTATTATATTTTATTATTTAAAATACGCTGTTCTGTATCCTTGTACGTAACAAATTTGTATAACAATTGTTATCGTTAACGTGTTTAAATATTGGTCAGCAGCGTTCCCTATCCCATTGTCGAATATCGTGGAATTTTACGGGGCTCTAAATTTCTGCGTGACGGATGTGTAACGATGATCATCGTCCCCGTTCATATTTCAGCGGGTCAGATATCAAACTTACCGTCGCGTGAAAAGTCTCGTGGCATATATACGAGGACTCGCAGGAATATTTTCTTACCCGAATATATTCTTTCACCCTCCTTCGCGGCGTGCTCCCCGGGGATTCAGGGGTCGTCTAGGCCTTTCATTTTCATCGGGCTTCGCCGTCGAGCCTTTTCAAGGAGGGGAAAAGAAAGTCCGTCGCGAAGAAAACCACACGAGAGATATGATCGTTCTTCGACAACATGCACTTAATCAGGCCGGCTTTATGTGGAGCGGAGGGCTAAGGTGAAAGCCAGAGAGGAAGGACACTGGCTCAGACTCGAAGGCGGAGGGACTTTTCGGGGGACGTCGAACCGAGCGAGACCTTAATTTCCTGTAGCATTCCGGCTTATCTCTTTCGCGATTTATCGACCTTGCCGAAAGTTACACGCTTTCGACTCGGAGAAACATTGCTCGTACACGGGCATCCGTTTCCTGACCGCGTTGTTCTCGATCCGAAGACGGTTCTAATTGTTTCTATCGCTCATACTCCTCCAAAGAACATCGTTCTCTGTACAAAATAATTCTCGTAACGCATCATCTACATGTTACATTTTGGTCAATGCAATCAATTAAATTAACATGTTCGCGGATGTGGATGCATTCATTTTCATTGTGAGTCAAACTGATATGAATGCTATAACATTCAAATTTATAAGCAGCATTATCATGCATTCAATTCCATATAATTTTTGAAATTATTATACATTGCGATGTAATGACTAAAGAATAAATCATCTGTTCATTTTTGCAGCTTATTAAAATTTTTACTGTTCGCGAACGTGTCAATAGTAGCTTATAGATTGAAAGGTACGGTATTTAAAATATATTTAAAAAGCAAACATTCTGATTTCATATCTCCAAAAAGATATCTTTCTATAACAAAACTTTCTATAACTAACTTTCTAAAAACAAAAATATCATATTGTAAATTTAGATACACTAGTCAGATTAATCAGAGTTAATTTGTTGTTGCTTTAGTAATGTTATATGAAATGTGTAAGTTTGAGTAACGAGCACTTTTTATGTAACTGTAATAGCTTTTACGGAATTGTATTCCAAAGTCAAATTTTTACTTTCGAAACTGATGATAACGATCCTTGTAAATTTTCCAGGATTTGGGCATTGTAATAATTTTACAGATTCAACCACTTACTGTTTACGTCAAACATTAACCCTTATCACTGTAGCCGACAGTAATGCTGTCAACCGCAAGCCATCGTAAAGGGCAAACTATAATATTCTCGTAGCGATAAGGGTTAATTAATCCGTGAATATATAAATGACCAAATAGTTTCTTTTTCGAAACGTACAAGAAGATTTACAAGTCAGTCTTTTATTTATGACCTTTGATCTCTATATGTTGTTATTCACCTTTAATTTTATTATAGCAATTCTCTCTCTTGTTTTCCGTTAATACATTTCTTATATTATTTTGTTGTTACTTTAATTTAAGTAATTGCCAGACTGCAGATCCTTATGAAAATTTGTATTTTTATTAATGGAATTAATGAAATTTTGTAGAGCTTTTAACCCCTAAATATAATTCGTATCTTACGTTAAGTATTTCTTATATTTTAGCATATCGAGTGCGTATTTTGTATTTTTTTTTAAATTTAAATTTGCCATAAATGCATAAGTATTCACGGTCCAGCAATTACCTGTTGGCGTCGAACGATTCGGCTGTTATCAAAGCACGTTTGTTTATTGGTTTCGTGTGATTGTTTCGGCGAAACGGCAATTAAACGGTGTACTGTTAATATTTAATTACACGCGCCGATGGATTCTTTTACGAAGAAAAACCGTCGTCCCCCTCGATATTGAAACGCGTATCCGCAACAGAAATTGCAGGTGTAACCGTACGCGATAATCTCGTTATCGTGGTCTGTTCACCGTAATCGAGGTAACTGCGTACAGAAAACATTGCGTGGCCCGCGTAATATTTTTGCTGTGATAAACGCGCGTTCGCCGCGTCTGGTCCACCCCCGCCTGTGTATTAGGACACAGAGTCGGCCACTTACGGACAGACACTCCCAGCTAATTTCCGGCTGTAAATACTCGATTCGGTCCTATCCTGTTCTCCCTCCTTTCCTTTCTGATCGATGATATTTTTCCGTTTCCATTCCATCACCTTCAAAGCATCAGCAGCTTCTCCTAAACGATGGTTCTTGATTTCCAATCCTCTTAACTACTACGTATTCCAAGGATTCCACAATGGATTTTTGGTTTCGTATTTCAAACATACATCGAGTTTAAGTACTCAGAGAATAATAAATATGTATTTACATAACTATATTAATTGGAGAGATGTAACACAGAGGAACCGTGTAAAACGATGTATATGTTCTAGTAAGTAAAGTTTAAAAACCGGGTAAAAGTAAATAAGACGTTCATAAAAAAAAATATATAAATTTAATATTCTATATACACACTACTTATTATAATATGACTGTTCCACAGTATTCTACGATTTCATATGTACCGTCATATCGCTATAATATAATATTATTATACCCCTAACGCTGCAAAGTTACTGGTCCAGCATATTATTACATTGTCGTATTATTTTAAGCCCTCGTAGTCCTATGCCATCAAATTCAGACTGTTCAGACTTCGCGTTCTGTCTAGACTTCGTTCCAGTCTGCCCTATATTGAGACAGTTTACACGAAGTTATTACGATTACGTTTTACCATTATACAGTTAGTCGAGTTAAGAAAAACATTTAATTGCAGTCCTTGACTCTCATGGCTAGAAATAATTTAAAATTATAATTTTTGCCATTGGGGAAATATTATTTCACGAATATGGTACACTTTTTGCTGCAGATACGCGATTGGCTCACAGTCGAAGAAGAGATGTTACGACAACAGGCGGTGGTTGTCGGCGACGTCGACGAAATTTTGCAGTTACTCGATAAACAGAAGGTAAGTGCATTATCCTCGCTTGCACGATAAAGCTTGCCGATTCTAAAAATACAAAGCGTCTCGAGGTGTGCTACTTTTGAATCTTTCATGATCCTAGACAGTTTTATGATAATGTAAATTGACGATTCAATGTTTCGTAAAATGTTGTATAAATATTTACGAACGTTCACGTGTGTTGGATAAGGAAACTTTCGCAAAGTGCTGTCTTTATACAATATTCAACAATTTCGTTAGCATTCAGAGTTTCGTGAGCTGTTCGTTGTGGGGCTTAAAAGGAATTAGGGGTCGATAAATTTAATCATTAAATTTGAATTATGCAAGTCGTTTAATGTGTATCTCGTCCAAGTAACGTGGATATGTGTAATTAATTTTTCTTCCTTCTGCAAGAAAGAAGATCCAGAATATTTTTCTTTGCAAGTATGACGTATCATTTTTCATATTTGAAGATGGCCAAAATCTTTTACGTAATGTATGGAAAATTTGCTTTCATTCATACATATACATATATGCGTTTGCAGGGCCTTCTTGTAGTTTCAGAAAATATTCAACGTTCCGTATGTTTTATCGGTCGGGACAAATATTGAAACACCACGTTTCGTCCATTCTCACAGCTTGCTGCTAAAATAGATAGGGCTTGAAGTATTTCAGAAATGCCAGAGTAAATGGAAATATTTTAACAAAATTCAAGAGTACAAAAGTATAGCTTCCTTAGCACTTTACTGAAATTTTCCAAGCCTCGTGTATTCTCAGATCCTACTTCACCATTTTGATTATTACGAAGGAATTGTTTAGCATTACGTGGAAGCATATCTCATAAAAAAGATGTTTAGGATCACACGAAGGGAATGGGACTAAATAAACGTTTATATATTATTAAGATATACAAAGTGCACACTTACAGTACTCAAGTTAAAAGGATAAATATTAATATTGTAACGCATAATTTTTAGTAATATGGCTAGTTTCTCTTTCCTTGTTTGCTTCTATTTTCTTCATTCGATCCTATCTTAAACAAAATTATATTAAACATCTATGCGTTATCGTTCTCCCGTTAAAAAGTAAATTAGTGCAATAAAATCTAAGAATAGTACTCTAGAATATTTGAAGTATCTTTTTATACAAAACTATAGGAATCGTACCAAAGTTATTTTTACAATTTTTCCAACTCTTAGGATTCACGAAGTTCTTGCATTTGCTACCCTCGCAATTTTTCGCGCTCGACTTATGCATGGAGTTCCCCGAGTAATTTTAAAACGTAGAGTGCGCTGCAAAACTCCTTTTTTATTGCGAGGTCGGTACTTCAGTTCATGCGGAACTTACATAAAATGTTAGATTTATCCTATACCGTGTTTTCACCGAACGGTCTGACGTCGACAAAATCGCGTTCTGCAGTATCCACGAGGAACTTTCCACCCTTATCTACTTTTGGAGGGTAAAGTCAACAGACACCCCCGGCCTGTTATCGTCCTGCAGTTCCCTGCAGAGTTTGTCGACCGATGGTTGCTTCGGGGGTAGTTTCGATGGAATTGTAGACGTTGGGGCGCGATGTCACCCCCTCGTTTTTCTGTACGTCGAGAGTGGGGGTTTCTGGGTTACTGACTGGGAAAACCCTGACATTGGCATTGGCATTAAAGGTCCAATGAACGCTGCCACGCCTTCCACTGTGCGTCGACGATACATTGTTGCTTTCCGCGCAATAGTTATGCTCAGACTATTGATTGCTCTTGCGCGGATTTTGTTTTCTTCGTCGCATTCAGCGGTGGTCTCCATCAACGATTCGTTTCACAATTTCCTTTCAAAGGAAAATTTATTTCGTCCGCGTTTTATCGATAGTCCGTCTCTTCGTTAAAAATTGGTGTTCGCTTGTCATTGTGAGAAATACTACAACGGGATTATTCGAACTTGGCGATTAAATAATTTGATAATTTTTATAAGATTTATTACGATCCTTGTATGTGTGTTCGAGTTATCTAAAAATGATCGATTTTTGTAGAATAATTTACTGCATATAATTCCGCGCCCTTTTGTTACTTTTAGTATTTGATCGTTAAGATTTCTCCTGCTCTTATAGGAATTACAAAATTATCGTAGGTTTTGAAGTATTAGTACATTTTATAAATAATTATATAGTTGTGTGTATCTGTTCAAGGTCCTAATGTCGGTATAAGTGAAACAAGTTGAAAAATTGAGTTTTCTTTAAATATTGAACAGCACCCTTTTTCTCAGAGTGGCGAAGAACTCTCGTCCCCGGATACTCGTATATTTAATACATAATTCAAGGGCAGGGTAAACACGTGAAGTACTAATTTCATAAAAGTGGAGTGGATGTGAAGACCATGACAGGATTAGAAGGTGTCTGTAACATTTGTGCATGCGTTAGTGTGTCGTGATCTTTTCCGTATTAATGAGAGTGGTATATTGTTCGACAAGGCCCGATCGAATGAATTAATTAAGACTGATTGGCAGCTCTTTCGTGAACTCTTCAATAGAGGCTCGTAACCGAACGAGCACTTCGTCCAACTCCCTTTCGTGCCTGTACTATCGACTTTTTCCACTTCGAGTCCGTGGCTTCCGCTAGGAAAAAATCGTCCTTAATGTTACTTTAAAGAACCTTGTTCAAAATTTTTCAATAACTTTTCCTGTCGATTCTCCTCCAAATCTTGAATTGTGAAAAGGGGTGCAAGAGGGATGAAAACTGTTGGCCGATTGAAAATAATTTAATGTGACCCGTGTTCAGAGATAGTAAGGCCAGGGGTCATACAAGGGTTTTTATGCCCTTCCTTGTCTAACAATTGAAAAGACATAGGAACGTCAATCTTGTCTGTCTTCGTTGTTTTTAATTGCAAGACAAAGAGAGGAAAGTGTGGTCCTAGCCTAAAAATTCGTTGATTTAAAATGTGAAAAGATTGCTGTAATTTGTGGTTTTGTCTCTGTAAAAAACTATCTAAAAACTATCTGTTGTTTGATAGAGTAAATTTCAAAATTATTTTATTTTTCGGGGGTAAAATTGACAATAGGAATCGATGACTATCGCGAGGATCTACGACCGTGTAAAATTGAGGGAAGTCTATAGGGGGATATTGTCGATTTTGAACACTTTTAGTTTTTGTTGGCGCATAGGTGGTTGGAAAATTGCCGATCTAAAGCGTTTCACGGATTCGCGGCGGAAATTCGGTTACTTTTCTCGCCCCGGTTGTCGGTTGCGTCTGAAAGGAGAGAATGGGCGCGTTTCGTTGATCAATGGTAGTCGATTTCGCGAGATTGGGTAGCTTTCTTTCTCGTTAAAGCGTGACTCGAACACGGGGAAACTGAGCTTTTCGAACGCGATCCGAGGGGTGGCCGAAAACAATGGGTTTGTTACGACGGTGTTGTTATTGATTTTCGATTGGGAAGCCGGAACTAAAGATATGAAAGAAACGAAAGAACCCGCGGAAAGCAGACAGATGGAAGAGACAGACAAAGAGGGGGCGGAGGTCCTTCATTATGTATAACGGTATCAGGTCTCTTTGAGTTCTGCTGATTATTGGAATTAAAATCGTTCGATATGCGGAACCAATAATTACGAGACACAAAGTAACAGTACTGGGTACAGTACGGGTACATTCAGTATAACAGAATTATAACAATATTTCTGAAAACAGTTGTTCTGTTCGATCGTGCCTCTGAAATTGTTCTTTTTGCGACTCGATAATTCTCTTCTCAAATTGTAATATAGTAAAATTCCGATTATTCGGCATACTCGGGACTGGGGTAATGCTGACAAATCAAATATGCTGGCTAATTGGATTGTACCTACATATGAAATGATAAAAACGAGGACTATAATCACAGACGAGCTATACGAGTAGACTTTACATCCAATGTATTTTTACGGCCCATTTTTCTGGGGCTTTAGAGCTCCATTAATACGCATTGTTTAACTTTTGAATCAGTAAAATCCTCCAATCCGTCCAGAAGTTATGATTTTTTAAATATACACATGAAATTTCGAGGAAACATTTCTGGCTTCACTCATTATATTTTTAGTAATGAATTTTTTTCTCGAAAGTGCGTAGGAATTCGGGGTTACGTGTTTTCACAAAAAATAATTGTAATTGATTCTCACAACTAAAAATAATTTTTCCAGAACGATTTGAAATTTTTTAATTTCGGCGAAAAATTTAAAATTTATTAATTCTTCTTAAAAATTTGTTTTTGATTTTTAATAAACACAACCATGAGTAATATAGTAATACAATTTATTAATAAAAAATAAAATATGTAAAATTTCTACGCTTTATTCGTCAACTGTTACTGTTGCCAATTCGTTACTATTTAAAAAGTCGTACGTATTTTAATATTTGCCTTTTATATTCGACAAAATGTTTTATTCACTCCGTTTAATAAAAATTTGTCAAAACGAAAGGTCGTGTGAATTTTCTTGAATATTTTTCTGCGCTGAATGCTATCCACGTTTTTCGAAATATCGTATTTTTTTAGGGAAATACGCATTGCCATAGCGAGCATAGAATTCTTCCTGTAGCATCGATTTTGTTCCACAGGGTGTACGGAAGTATTTGTTACAACTTTCGATACAAAATCTACACATTAAAATCAACGAATATTTTTTTAAAATAGGAAATGTTATCTTGACTGTGAAATCTTATAAACAAATAATAATTCCTTTAATACATGGGCAAATTTTATTTACGAATAACGAATAAAAATTTCAAATTCGTTCGTAAACTAGCTGTTGTCAGCGAATTCTTTCGCTCGAATCTTGGTTTAATAAGTCTGTTGATGGACTTAGATTTATGCATTAATTTACGAATGAATCTAAATTTCTTATTCGTTATTCGTGAATAAAATTTGTTCAACTCTAATTTGGTTGAGCGACAGAACTTTGAGTGGCTAAATTTATCCAGTATTCTTTGCCACTTTTCTTCGTTTTTTGAAAATGGAATATATAAAATTACAAAATTTAACCGTGAATTTCAAATTAAAGATTTTTTTATCAAATT